TCTGCACCAGTCTGTTTGGTACATTAGTGTTGATGACATGATGCAGTGTAGTCTGGTGACAGGGGAAGGTACACTGGTAAGGTAAGGTAAACTTGGGCCTGTGCTTAACTAATTAAGCACCATGCCATGAAGGCATATGTTGGAGTGGATGTATAGATCCACATTTTCTTGGTCTTGGCACTAGCTGGAGGTGAGTGGTCAGCTTCACGCCCCGGCCGCTTTATCTCCAGGGAAAGAGCCCCCGGTACCCATTGGATAGGAGATTGGGTGGACCCCAGAGCTGGTCTGTATGATGTGGAGAAGAGAAATTTTTTGACCCTACCAGGACTTGAACTCCGACTCCTCAGTCATCCAGCCTGTAGCCAGTCACTATACCAACTACACTATGTCAGCTTCTGGTACACTGGGAGATGCATACAACTATGGATGTAATTCTGTGTCTCCCCCTAATTTTGTTCTAGAATTTCTCAAAAAAATCTAGTAGATCAGAAACACACTTATCTGAAAACCTTTGATAAGAAAAGTGGAGTTCTGAAGCAGGTCAGCTGTCTGGTCGACTGGTTATTTTTATTCGTATTTTATTTAACTTGTGTCGTACATCATTATGCCATATCACCCAATCCTTGCTTAGGAAGCTCCCATCAAATCCATTGTTACTGTAGCTCTGGCTGACAGGAGAGAAGTGTGGGGAGTCTGTAATATTTTTAAATAATAGAAGTGTGTGTGACACACTTATATAATATAAAACAGGAGACAGTTAATTACTATGCATGCGTGTTGTCTGACTGATATGTCATTCTCATGACAGTAGTTTTTGCCCTTACACAGGTGGCAGCTCTGTGTTTGAAACTCTGCCATCTGAAGGATAAAACTGTAACTTCATTCAAATGAGATAAAGGTATGAACAGAAGAAAGGAAGTGAAGGTTGGAGATTTGGAAGAAGGTATTCCCCATTGAATTTCAGTGGAATTTCCCACTATTAAAATTAAACACCTAACATTAAATTTACAATTACAATTTTTTCAAGATTAGGATAAAAGCCTCTTCCAACCTGCACTTAAGAGTAATCCTTCTCCGTTTGGATTCTTGTACTAATTAACTTAAATGATTTATAACATTGTATCAAATTTTACGTACTACAGTTCAATGGTGTACGTTTGTTGAAGTGTGTTTGCCTAATGATGGCCACTCGTGGCCAAAACATGTAGCAGAACTATACTGAGCATTGTCCTTGAAGTTCTATATTTGCTGTGTTGTGACGGTCACATAAAGAGGTTGTATATGTTTTAACACGGCAGGATGCATGAAATTAAAATTATTCATCACATTGTTTGGTATCCTTTTGTCATTCATTATTTCCAATTTGTCAGTCCACTTATGTTCACAAGTTATTTCTTCTTCTGCCGAATGTGTTGTCAAATCTGGATTGATATCACTCGTACTTTTACCTGTTCTTGTGAGACCCTCATCAACTTTAAAAAGATAACATTTCTGCTTGTACTTAAAATGTTACAGCTCATTTTCTGTTCCAAGTTTGTGGTTCCTGTATGACATTTTTGTATGGCCATTCAGTACTTTTCATCTTCTTTTTATTCTACCATCATTTATGTTTTATACAGGTGAAAGGATGAGAATTCTCCAGTCTCTCTTTCTTACCACAGACTGTCATTTTCAAGCATTATTGACATGCATTGTTGGTTTGCTGGGCCCATCATATCTTCATTGGAACCCCACTAGGCATTGCTTTCAGGGGTTCCTGTTGGGCCTTCTTAGCTTCTATCATAGTTGTTCGTATCACACCAACAGGCAGTCACCTATCTGATGTTACCTTTCCTGTGGTGAGACTTCAGGAGTGATTTCAGTACTAATCTATGAAAATTATAAACAGCCATGGTATGTAAAAGCAAGTTATTTAATTTCCAGGTGAAATCAACATCATATATTTTTTGTCACTTTTGAACTAGGAAATAAAGAGCATTAGTCGTTGTGTAATTGATTGTTTTTTTAAGTTATCCTTATTGCAAGTGTTTCCAAACAAGATAGAATTAGTGTTCTGTCTTTGACTGTTACACCTTGCAGGAAAATGGCATCCAGCTCTGTAAGTCAAGAGGATCTGGAAAATGATTTTGAACTCTCATCTCGACGATCTCGAATCCGAACTGCTCGTGCACGAACAGTGAATCCTCCTGCTAGAATTGGTTTGTAACTGAAATAATTCAATGTGACAACTGTATTTGACAATCAGCATTGTACATATTAGACACAACTTTGAAATTTTGCTTTCCTGACCATTTCAGTACATTTTTTTAATTTAAAAGTGACAGTTGAAAGATGTGAGCATAATATTCTGTAAAGTTCATATGTCATTTAATAGTAATACTGTAATGGTCCTTATTATTTGTGAAGTTAAAATAATATTATGGTTGTACTGCAAAGTAAGGCTTGTTTAAATACACAGTCAGATATGATAAATACAGTAAAACTTGGTTATAGCAACATCGGTTTCTACGACACCTTGTCTATTGCATCAAATATTCAATGGTACGAACTAATTCCTCGTAAAGCAACTGTTTTTATACCTTGCTTAGTACGACATGCACAAATGCATCAACCTCGTATGTAACGTCATTTTCATTCCTGAATTTCTCTGAGATGGACATTGAATGTAATTTAGAAAGTGTGTATTGGGCAAGTAACAGGAAACAGATGAAGATAACTGATTACTGTACTCGTATCTAGGTACAGTAAGGCACAACAATTGATGTAATCTACTGTAATTTGGTGAGTAGGCCTACCTTTAATATACAGTATTAGTGCGGTGTGTATTGTCAGTGAAAAGCGCTGTAATATGTCTTTGATATTACACATTTGGGCAATTCCACATTAATGTTACGTTAGTCTGTACTTAACTACGTATTTCACTAAAAAATGCAACATTTTAACTCGGTTTTTGGTAGATTTTTACGTGACTAACATAAGGCTACTGTGGAAGTGCCCATTTCGGTTACAACGACATTCGTTTATAACGACACTATTTTTAGGTCCCTTTGATGACGTTATAACCAAGTTCTACTGTATTGTGTAATAATGTCACTTGATATATATATATATGTTCAACAGGAACTTTGTGGTATGTTTCCACTTTTTGTTGAAGATAAATGGATATATTCAAGAACCATACATGTAGTATAGTCTGAACTGCCCGAAACAGATAAATATTGGTCTGGACTTCCTATTGGGTCATGCCAAGTTGCCTATCCAGAAACTTAATTAATTGAAATATAAGTTGCCTCAAATTAATTTATTTTACTTTTTTTTTATTCACACTCACTTGCACCTATTAAAATAAAAGTATGTCGGTGATTTATAATCTAGGATAGAGACAACATTTTCACTGATGTCATCTTTGATATTTAAGAATGGACTGTGCAGACTTATTTCTTCATAATTACCTGAAGGAAAGTGAGAATGAATGAATTATATGGAGAAACATTAAGTGCACCATATTCTGACATTGTCATTTTAAGGATGAAACTAATTGTGAGATTTGAGGTTCCCACACCAATGACTTTGAATATCACTGTTTTCTGGGATGTGATGTCATATGGTCTGATACATAGATACCAATGTTGTGGGGGAACCTACTGCCTCCATCTTCAAGGTAGACAAATAAGCCAAGTATGGAGAAAATGGTATCGATACAGGGAGAGTGAGGACTGGAACCAGATTCTGATAGAGCAATAGAAGTAAGGCTAACAGAATAAAGAATATTAGGGTTTGAAGAGGGCGTTTTCCAAGGTCTTACTCTTCTACCCTGAAGATGGAGGCAGCAGGTTCCTCCAAGAGACTGATATGTATCTGCATACTATACAGTATCATATCACAAAAGACACTGTATGTAATTTTGAAATGTGTGTTAATTCAAAATTGTATTCAAATTTGCTTTATGTAAAGATCCGGGCGGTGGTGACTTCGATGATGGAGGAGGAGGTGGTGATATGAAAACTTCTGAGTCCCTTAACATCAGTGGCAATTTCCCAGCAGAGCATGATGCTAGCCCCAAGCCCCTCAGTCGAGCCAAGGAGAAACGAGTCAACAGGTGTGTTACTGTCAGACAACCTCTGACTGAACATGTCAACAGGTTAGTAGTTACTTGAAAAGTAACTCGCCGCACCTGGAATTGAGCGTAGCAGTAGTTTATAGTCCACATTCAGACTTTTTAATTCTGCACTCAAATATCTTAAAAAAAGATACGTTTTTACTAGTTTGTAACCAGCAGTCCCTTGGTTAACATAGCCAACCCATCTCCCTGAAGAAGTGCATGTATGTGATTGCACACTTCACAGTATCAGTAGTACTCATATAGCTTGAACTTCAACATTTCATTGTAAATAAACATACACAGCTAACCCAACTTCCATGATGAACTTGGTATAGTGAGGACAGAATGCATTATGTGTTATTACATACATGCTTCATGCAGACTGGTGGCTTCTCAAGAAGGGCTCAGCTCCATGGAGCCAGTTACACTGGATGCATGTGACATGGGTATACTTTATTACTAATGTCACAGTTTGCTTATTGATTTATTTAGTAGTTTAATGAGAAAATGATTGTGAATGATATGCATTGAGGATATGGATGGGAACAGTCATTGCCTGATTTAAGAGATTATCCCAGCATCCAAGTAGAAGGACTGAAGGTAGCTACAAAAAGCTCAAGTCAAGATCACAGGGCACTTGGTTGATTTAATTGTTTTTCTAACTTAGTGACACTGTCAGAGTGCCAAATGGTAGGATGATTAGTGAACGATGAATTGAAACGGTATGAAAGGAAGTGATCGTGCCCTAATTTGATGTACTATACTGGAATTTTTTTCTGAAGGGGGTGAAGAAGTCCACAAACAATGTCAGTCAGGATACTTGTTGTTCCAGTCCATATTCAAACTGTCCATTTCCCAATACAAGTCACAACCATTAGAGCATGAGCCAACTTCTTTGATCTCTGGTTTTACATTCAAACCTAGAACCTCTCTGATATCAGTCATTGTAAATGTCAACAGACTTGAAAATTTCAGGAAATACTGCTTCTAAAGGTGGTAAGAATGAATACAGAAATGTGTCTGAACCCCACCTTAAGCAGCATTCATAGCCTGACCCACTGGTCAGTAATGTCTGCTAGTACTTTCACCTTACTTCATGTGTCTCTCTTTTCTCTCTATAAGATTGGTTGAATGCTTTCCATTACTTTGTTTTAACTTTTGACTGCTGTGCCAGATGATGTTTTGCCATGTTAAAAGTTATGAACAGGAATTACAAATGAACTATGAAAAGGAGCGTATGTTGAAAACTAGTGCATGGTTCTTTGTGTCCTGCCATTTTCTCTCCTTATTTGTAGGCCTATAAATTTGATCATGCCCATTTTGTGTCTTTTGTGTTTTCTCATATGCTGCAAGATATTAAGTACAAGTGAGTTTCGTTATCTTCAAATAATGGTATAAACACTTACATAGCAGATCTGTTGGATACTGTTCTCTGTGTTATATTAAATTAGACTTGGAATTATAAATATTATGTACGACAATTATACTTTTTTGTATCATTTATAGATGTGATTTCTGATGTGAGTAAACAGCATTGGTTGATGCAAGAATTTGAAAATGGAGAGGTAGGGAAATATTTTGAACCTAGAGTGATTATGGAAGTTGAGAATGGATTGTATCAGATAACATGGAGCTTTAAATTCATATATCTCACATTATTAGGATTGTAAAATTAATGTGTTTATGAGGAGAATCACAGTTATTGTGACATTTGAGGTTCATACAGCAGTGAGTATGAAAGTTACACTATTCTGGTTTGTTACATTAGTAGTTTGTTAGACAGTACCAACACTTCAGAGGAACATAGATACTTCTCTACCAGACTGTATGGCATCACATCCTAGAAACTGGTAATCACCTTTACAGTCTATATTGTCATGAACTGAGATCACACAGCTATTTCCCATCTTACACACCCTGAGAACAGCTTAAGTTATGGTAACTGAGGTTTCAATGCAGTATGCTGTTTGTAACCTTAAATACACATCTCATATTTCAGAGCCAATCATATGAACAAAGGAAAACAGCAGCAACGTGATCGCAGGAAATTGCGAGAGAAACGACGTAGCACTGGAGTAGTACACCTTCCCTCTACAGAGGTAGGGTCTACTAGAAACTTCTCACACACTATGCAAAATAGAGAGTTGTGGCATTACTAACAAGATAAAAATTCTGCTGATCTCTCAGATACATTGCAAAATAACACAATAGAAGCCAGTAATTTCACTTGAATATTTTCACAAGGTATTTATATTAACTATGTTTTTCACATAAAATTAATTAATTGATCTTAAACTGTATCAGTAGACAAGGCACTGTTCTTGGAAACCCCCTTTGCTGCTTTATGTGGCTGATCCACTGCTGTTATCCCTCTCCTAACCATGCATGGCTGAGTTGTCTTGTGTGTGCATAACAGCAATAGGATTTATGCAGGGAATTTCCCCTCCAAAGTTCATTGTACAGTCATCTTAAACAAACTGCTGTGTTTGTTCAGTCTACCGGAGGGAGCACAGGGGAGGATGAGGATGAGACTCAGACAGCGGAAACACGCCGAAACACACAACATAATGAACAGCTGCTGGATCGTGAGCCAGGAGAGGTAACATGAAAGAGCAGAGCTTGGTGCAATTAGTTATGTTTCACTCCTGTGGCAGTTGATGTTTCAGTCTTAAAGGAACTGTAGCTGTCAGGGTAAATGCAAATGGTAGGCCACGCCATAGTTCAAGCAGTTAGTCGCTGGCTTCCCACCGTGGCGACCCGGGTTCGATCCCGGGTCTGGTCAAATAGGATTTGTAGTGGACAAAGTGGCGCTTGGGTGGGTTTTCTCTGAGTACTTCAGTTTCCCCTGCCAATCTTCATTCCACCAAATTCTCCATCATAATCACCTTGGGCAGGCTACAGTAGGCCAATCAGTGGCCACTTTGCCGAGTGGACCCCGTTGGACTCCACCCCCCACTAAGTGAATTAAAAAAAAAATGCAAATGGTGAAACGCTTGTAACACCGGTGACTGGTCGCATTGATCTAAGGGACTGTGAACTTTTGGAACTACATACCAAAACAGACTTCCGCTAAATAAGCACACTAAAACAGTTAATATTTCATTTTATGTCTGGAGACCATAGCTTGCTCCATGTATGCGAAATCTGTAAATTAATGAAACTTATTGTTTTGGATTCACACTGTATGTGCATTCTTAACTGATGCATATCTTGCTGTTATTCTGTTACTACAAATTTGCTGAAGTATGAATATCTAAGGCAGGTAGGAAAGTCAAGGTGGCAGTTATAATTGACTTATGTATGAGGTATTCACCAAGAAGCCAGGAGTGGATGTATAGATCCACATATTCTTGCCTTGGCACTAGTTGGAAGTGAGTGGTCAGCTTCACGCCCTGGCTGCTTTACCTCCTGGGAAAGAGCCTCTGGTACCCATTGGAGAGGAGCCTGGGTGGGCCTCAGAATCGGTCTGGGCGAGAAGGAGAAATGAAAAATCTTGTCCCTCCTGAGACTCGCACTCCAACCCCTAGACTGTCCAGCCCGTAGTCAGTCACTATACCAACTGCACTATCCCAGCTCCAGATTGGCTAATGTAGGTAGAATTCATGTTCCATTGGTAAATATCAGTAAGTGTCATCAGTATCAAAGTGTGATTCAGAACTTTAGAAATGAGACAGTTGAAGAGAGACATTGAATTAATAAGCAGTTCAGCTTATGCATACACATAAGAAGCACCAAAACATGGATAGGAAGGAAACTTGTACATTTGTAATGACATGGCAACAGTAACTGAAAATGACTCCTGTGTCTCATACTTTTACACCATATTTAAATGAGAAATTGAAAGCACTTTAGTTGATAATTGCTGTTGTTATATGATTTGAAGGTTATACAGTCTAATTTTCCCTTATGTTTGGGTTTGTTTAGGAACGGTTACCTCACAAAACATACCCACAAAGGAGGAACAAGAGGTAAATAAGCTTGATTATTTATGACAGTGTTGGTAGAGCTCAGAGGCATTTTGTTTCATAGCCAGGGTATGTGGGCAGAACATTTAAGTATCTCCGTGTATCTTTTGCTTTTGTGAATTTGATTATGTTTGAATCATCCTTCCCTCTTAACCTTTCTCATACAAGAATAAGGGCTTGAAAACCTCAGGGCTGATGATTCTCTCAATATTAAATATGTCTATGGAGCTCTTCTACTAAAATATTCTTGTAAATGGTACTGCTTGCTTGCACTCTACTTGCCAGTTGCTTCTTGCTTAGCTTAATCTTGAGCCCTGAAGATGGAGTCAGTATATTCCTCCAAAACACAGGTGAACTTCCACCAGACTACGTGGTGTCATGTCCTAAAATAATACTGTTCGTAGTCATTGCTGTGACTAACCCAAATTCACTAAAGCTAGTGTATCAATCTTCTCTCCCCCCCATAGCCCATCTGATCTGGAAGCTGATGATGAGGACAACCAAGAGTTCGACAGTCTAAATCAGTCGGATTCAACAGTAAGCAGCTTGATGCATGTAGCTGAGGCTCCTTGTCGGCCACGCCCTGGTACACCCACTGGGGACAATCCAGATGAGGTTAGTCCTGGTGTGATTCACTGGTTTCAAGTTACAGTAAGTGACTGACTATGGGATGCATGATCAGAGTTTGATTTTTGGCAAGGACAGGCACTTTGCCCTTTGACACTACCTCCTTATCATTTAGTTAGTTAGTTATTGGAGAGGGTGGGTTTCCCCATGCACTGAGACCTGTATTGGTCCATTGTGCTTCCCTCTATGATTTCTACCAGTCTCTATATCCTACCGGTACTGATGCTTACCATCAGTCCCGCCCAGCCAGCGAGACCGGCTCTACTAGCTGAGAGGTATCTATAATGCTTCCCTCATCTACCAGAGGTATTAGAGACTGCTGTTGGGCGGGAAACGTCCGTTAATTTGGCTCAGTGACCTCCTTAGGAGATATGAGGTTCTTTTACGTGCCGTAAAGCTACGACACGGGACCCACGGCTTAAAGTCCCTCCCGGAGGACTTGTTCCCTGACTTTTTCTGCCCTTAAAAATTCGACGACCTCCGCCGGATATTTGAACCCGCGTACTACGAGTCATGAGGTGGGAACGTTACCTCTAGACTAAGGAGGCCACTTCCTTATCAGTTAGTAACTGTGTTAATATGTTCATGACATAATAGAAATATACACGCAGTCATTCTCTTCAGTTGTTCTGTCAATGGTGGAATTAGCCAGAGTTTCAGTAACATTATAAAGCCACTTCTGAAGTGGTTAACAAGTTATTTACTGATAACTCTATTTGGAATCATTTCAGTTGTTAGAGCGAGCTCAAGAAGAAAATCGACGTCTTCTATCTCTTCTCGAGGATCGGGATAATAAAATATTTGCACTAGAAGCTCGTATCTATCAACTTCAAAGAGAAATGTCTCGAGAGAAAGATAGACTTAGTGAAGAGAATGCAGCACTCATCAGGGCTATGGCATCACTTGCCACTGCAAAATGAATGGCATCCTACTTCATTGGCTTGATATTTAAAACAATGTTAATGCTTTCTTCATAACTGAGTAATTATTCCTACAGCTTAATTCTGTCTCTTATGTCTCAGATTAGGAAAGATACTCTTTAATCTAGAGCGAGTAATATCCCAGCTTCCAGGACACAGGCCTGGGCAAAGTTACACTGCATGATCCCTGACGATCAATGTACAGAATTACTGGTTTCACATATTAATGGTATGCTGCAGCTACCAGTTTTCATGTTTGTTAGAATGTGCTCTTGGATGAAATGAATTTTTTTAGAGGATATGGATACATATATATTATATTTTCTGAAAGAACGTTGAAGAAAATTAGTGCCATGTGTGGCAGACTTATGTTGTTGGATTATTTTGTGTAGGTATAAGGTCAGTTAAACCTCTTAATGTGTGCATAATGGAATTAAATGTCTACTTTTTTATTTTATACTGTAGGCATCATATTGGTTTTATCTCCCATAAAATTAAGTCATATATTTATTACTTAGATAGAATTCCATAATTCTCCAGTTTGATTCCAGTGAATGGTGAAATACTAGCTACATGAAATGGTATTAGAGAACTCCCTGTGTTTTTTTTTATAAAGAAGTATACAGAAGGATGCAAAATGTGTGGAATCATTTTGTTTTGAAAGTTGACCAATATTTCTCATTTACATATTGGCAGGTTTTGCTGAGTTCAATCTTGAATGAACACACACAGTTTTAAGGGGTCATCAGTTTCAATACAAACTTGGTAGGCTATGTACTCATAAATTTTATATGACTCCTGATTAATGAGTTTAAAACTAACCATGTCATGAAATATGTTTAATTAACTTGCTAATATAGTATGTATTTAAGAACTTTATCTCCCTGTATTTTAATACACAAAAATTTGAAATGTAAGAAGATTGTTGTACTTAATAGACTTATTTGATTTGTCGCATTCTGGTCCATCACACTGTTAATTACAAAGTGGATAATTTTCAGGCAGTGTGACATACAAGTTTACAACACTTCAGTCTTTATTCACCTTACATGTTTCGATTCAAAAGAATCATCCTCAGAGGTGCACCACTACGATCAAGAAACACTGTCACATAAGATGTTTTAATAATATGCACTTAAGCTATGAATAATGCTCACTATATAAATTTTGTTATTATCACAGTTAGTTTTGATGTTTATCTTAGGCATTCACGATGACGCTTCTTGAAGTGTAGATTTTCGTATGGTGCTGTTTCTTTTAAGCGTATTTTCTGGATATTCTGTTCGGGATTTTCCACTGCACGCGATATGATGTTTGCTTTTCCATATGGTGGCCTCCCAATGTATTAAAAACTGTATTAAAATTTTCTTTTGTATGTAAAAAATTAGTTATTATGTTAAAATATCGTGAGCCAACATTGGGTCATGTTGTTTTCCTCCTGATGGTGGGAGATGTCGTTTATTTCTCTTGATTATATATTCTTATTATTAGTCGTGTAGTTTACGCGCGTGCTGTGTTGTTTGTACACAACACGCATGTAAACTACACGACTAATAATAAGAACATAAAATCAAGAGAAATAAAAGACATCTCCCACCGTCAGGAGGAAAACAACATGACCCAATGTTGGCTCACGATATTTTAACATAATAACTAATTTTTTACATACAAAAGAAAATTTTAATACATTGGGAGGCCACCGTATGGAAAAGCGAACATCATATTGCGTGCATTGGAAAATCCCGAACAGAATACCCAGCAAATATGCTTAAAAGAAACAGCACCATACGTAAATCTACACTTCAAGAAGCGTCATCGTGAATGCCTAAGACAAACATCAAAACCAACCATGATAATAACAAAATTTATATAGTGAGCATTATCCATAGCTTAAGTGCATATTATTAAAACATCCTATGTGACAGTGTTTCCTGATCGTAGTGGTGCACCTCTGAGGATGATTCTTTTGAATCGAAACATGTAAGGTGAATAAAGACTGAAGTGTTGTATACTTGTATGTCACACTGGACTGAAAATTATCCACTTTGTTCTTAATAGACTTCTTAATTTTTTCATTTTTCCCTGCTTTTAGAACCCTACCAGAAACTAATTGCTCTCCTGTGAGTGTATAATCTATTTCTTCATTCCCTCATTTAACTCGTCACTGGTTTTCATTATGTTTCCATTATATCCTTCTGAAATACTGTGAATCTTCTCAGATTTATAAGATGTTCAGGTTTTGTTGAGGGTCAGACAATTGGGGAAATAACTTATACCAGTTTAGATGGAAACAATGTGTGGGTTCTTTCCTTTCACAATATCATAGTGATTATTAAGTGGAAAAAAAAAATCTGTGATAAATTGTAAATTTGCAACTTGTAAACAATTATGAAGTTTTTAAATATGTAGTGTATGGGCCAAATAATGTAACATTTTTTTGACATAGTTAATTTTAAGATAATGTATATATAAGAAGTTTATGATCATCGTTCTTAAAATAATTGAATGTGACTGTATCATTTGAAGCTTTCATGGTGAATGAATGCACTAAAATCTTCTTCCCCTGGCAAATTTGAGTTAAACATCAAAATATCATGAACAGAACAGTCTCCAAAACATCGTACTTAACTCAGGTTTGTAATTGCTGAGCAGATAAAATTATTGCACAATGATCAGAATATGTCACCCATGTTTAATTGGAGAAAATATAAGAATGTAGCATATATACAATACAAATAGTAATAGTTCAGTAGTATGTGGTGACATGTTACTCTTTCCATGTTTCATACTTAATTTTTTAATTTTACAGGTAAGATTTATGCAAGAATTTACTTGGTGAATTTGATTAGTAAATGCAAACAAGTAGTATTCCAATTTAAGTCTTTAGTATGATGTTAAGCCATTAAAACGACTTGAGAGCGCTGAAACTTTTTATATTGAGAGAAAGTCTTTTGGCGTCCTATGTAGGTTTAATTCTACAGTTGCAACAAAATGGATTAGCCATTTTACAGGTTTCTGTCAGCCTACAAGTTGTACTTCAGAATAATGACAGACTACAGTACATAAATAGATTGAATTATAATAAGTAAAATATGAGGACATGCTGTTCCAAACAGGAAATGCAAATTACTATCTCTTCGGATGTGACGCCATGTTTGTGGTGGAAAGGTACTAGCTTTTCAAAGTAACCTGCAGCTTCCATCATCTTCAGGATGGAAGACGAGGGGGCAGGTGTAGGAAAGAAAGGAAAGGAAAGGAATCGGGGAATGTGAGTGGGTGCACTGTCTCCCTTTAGCCTGTTTGCAGCACCAGTCTTTTGTGTACCTATAGACTTCTCTTCTCTCATGGCTTTTACTGTAACCTCAAGATGGAGGCAGGAAGTTCTTTTGAAACATTTGTACCTCCCTATCTGACTACTTGTCACCATGTCTCACAGAAGACAGTATGGTAAGACCTCACTAATTCAGACTAATAGGGACTGAACCCTTGTCCAAAGTAGTGAAAGTCCGAATTAGAAGTGCTACTGAAAATATGTTCAGGGAAGTCATAAAATGGACTTATATAGGCAATACAACTTTATTTTGAAATTTAGATTGTATGTCCTAAAATAAATTACTTAATATTATTGTGACTGTGTTTAAAAAACTAACTTATTTTCGTTTGTGTTCCTCTTGTGTAATATTCACCACCGTGAGAACCTCAAATCACAGGAAATGCAAACTTGTTCAGATGTAGCGTGTTCATATGCACGTAACATGCTTTCACTTAAATTTAATGTTGGAGGTATGAATTTTATGAGATACTTTCACTGTCAAGGGCTCAAATATTCTTAATTGTATCAAGTTAGTGTTTGCTGTAGTAAACAATGCTCATGAATTTTTTACTCAAAGAGTAATCTATAGACATCTATAGTCAGCTTGGCTAACATGATGTATGTGACCCAACATAATTTGGTTTTGTAACTGCATACATCTGTTGTCCAAGAAAATTTTTCCAACATTCACACTTTGCATGTTTAATGACTGTATATTTATTGGCCTTATTTTTGTGTAACACGTAGTTAGCTCATTGCAGCAAATTTCACCATGCTATATTGTAATTGTAGCTTGTAATATTGGCTGTAATGTACTTCTGTTACTGGCAACTGAAATACTGTATTACAATTTTTTTCTGTATTGTATGTGTTTGTGGTACATAAAATTGTATGAGAAATGAAACCAATATTGTTTCCGTAATAAAAATTATTCAAGTTCTATTTCATATTCATTGTGTTATCTTCATAAGCCAGCATCTTCCTCCTTATTCAGAGGCAAGAATATCCCTCACCTTGACTGGCTTGTAATTCTTAGTATGTCTCATAGGAATTTTAGACTAGGTTGTGATCCTCTGCCCTTATTTGTCTCCCGTATCCTGAAGCTTTCCACAGATGGGAGAGTAATATTAAAATGAGCTGGTTATAGGGTGAACTGCATTATGCTGCTTATAAGCATCTCAACAGACGCATGAATTGTTACATTAAAATGAAAGGTCTGTCTGGAACTTGGGACCGTTAATCTTACTTTAATCAACAACTCTGTCAGAATCTCACACTATAGCACTGAATAAAAGGCTGATTAATGAATAATTAATTGCAAATGATGCAGAAGAAAACAGTGGTGACCTAACATAAGATATATCCTGGAATATTATATTTAAGCATCCTGTTGCAATTTATACGATATATGATATATATACTACACACGTAGTAAAGATAAGCAGCGGCACACACATGGGGAGACCACACAGAATAGCACCTGTACAGTACTAGAAACAAGAAGAAGCCGCTGTAGCACTATAGACATAGGGCGAATAACCCTGTCAATTTTAAATTTTAAAATTTAGAGAAAACAATTTTAAAGGATTTAAAATTAGAACCGAAGATTTTATAAGTGCTAATTCAGAGAAATCAAAATTGACGCGTGTAAATAACAAAGATATCAACAAAGTAGATTTTGGTAATAACAACGAAAGGAACAATCAGGAAGACCTATGTTTTTAAATTTTAAATGTTATAAATAAGTGCAGTGTAACAGATACGTGAGTGTATACACCTGATGATGGCCGTTTGGGGCCGAAACATGTAGTGTATAGAGAGGCACAAAACGAAAGACCTATAAATATAGTTTGCACTTAGGACGGAGTTATATCATATATCCTGGAATTTGCTTGGAGTGGCTGAGTAAAGCCATGAAAAACTAGTCTCTGCACCGAGATGTGAACATGGGGCCTCTCAGACATGAAGAACGCATGCTAGCCCCTCGACCAAGATATTCAGTCTTTAGATTATGACTTGAAAAATACTCTGTGACTCCATGTAATCTGGTAGTTAACCGAAATTTCGGAGAAACATACTGCCTCCATCTTCAGGGTCGAAGAGTAAGCCAAATGATAATTCAGCGAGAATTGGGGGGGGGCACAGCAGATCCTGAGAACAGAGTTAGTACGTTTCTTCGAAACATCCGTGAATTACTGGGCTACATGACATTACATGCCAGAAGATAATGCCTCTTCCTTGTCACCGGTGTTAGTACCCCAAATCCACGATTGTGATTTGTTCAACTTCCATCGGAAGGAATTAAAACATAGAAAATAACAAGACAGAAGCTATACAGATAAGTCTTCCAAGAAACAAGCCTACATATGGAGTACCTGGTCATAAATTTCGTCACCATATTGGAAATAGTTGATATTAATAGATGAATGGCCGGTCACGGTAGCCGAGTGGTCTAAGGCATGTACTGTCTTCGCTCGCTTGGAAACCGGGATCGTGGGTTCGAATCCCACTCAGGGCATGGATGTTTGTATGTGTGTGTACAGGTAGAGGCCTTGCGACGAGCTAATCACCCGCCCAAGGAGTCCTACCGAATGTGTAATATCTAGAAAAACCGAAGTGAACGGAAAAGTTCATGGAGGTAGGCCTAGGCCCACTGGGGCTGTAGTGCCAAGGGGGGGGGGATATATATATATATTTCCCATATTTCAAGAATG